AATAACAAAGCCCTTTGTCTCTTCTTAACTGCATTTCTGCTGGTGAAATTCTTTTGATATTTCGGTTTTTTTGGTATGGGTTCATAGGTCTAGTTGGTGGTGTATGAAGTATTGGTGTTGTTGTGTTTTTCTGGAAATTTTCGGGTTTGTTTGAATTGAAGGTTGCTCTAGAAGGTGGATGGATAGATTGATTTTGGGAAGCTTTTTGTGGTTTACTGGCTGTGTTATATTTTTCTTCATACACTTTTGCTAGGGCTACAGCTTTCACAATGGAAATGAGGGTATGGATTAACACATCACGCCGAATCTCAGGGTTCAGGCCACTAATGAAATAATCTATCAAGGCGTCATTGCTAATACCGTATACCCTGTTTGCTAGTGATGTGAACTGGATGTAATACTCAACAACAGTACTCGTCTGATTCAACTTAAATAAGGTAGCACGTGGACAATCATACACAGAAGGACCAAAATCTAGCTCCAAAGCTCGGGTAAACTCAGTCCAAGAATGAAAAGGAGTGGAGCGTTGAACCATTTGAAACCATGGTACTACATCCTTATTGAGTTGTACCGACGAAATGGTTAAACGATCGAGATCTGGAGTATCATAATAATCGAAAAATTGCTCAGCTCGAAAAATCCATTCAAGAACATTACTACCATCAAATCTGGGAAATTCGAGCTTAACATTTCTCACCTGGAAGGGTTGTTTGTTCGTGAGTCCAGCACCATATGAGGTCTTCGACGGGGTTTGTTGAATCAGAATATCAAGCGTTGCATGAATCTGTTCGAATTTGCTATCAGTACTCGTCTGAATCGCTTCCATCCACTGAAATCGGGACTCATTCACGACTTCCAATCGTTCCATGCGTTCATAAAGATCCTCCTGAAGTTGTTTCAAAGCTTCTGCATTGCGCTTGATTTCTATGTCCATCTCTTAAGAGAGGGATTAATACAAGATTTGAAAAAGAGAGTTTGGAGAGAGAAAGTAAATAAACTTCACAATTCACATAGAAAAGAAATTGATTCCTACTGCTCTATATATATATATATTCCTCAGCTAGTCACAAAATTCCTCAAATTGGTATTGGCCTTGCGCATTCGGTTGCTCCTACGCGTTCCCTGCAATTCCGGATCCAACCTAATAGAATGATCCTCGCGTATCTCTTGTGGGCCTCTCAGCTCAATTCTTGCTGACTCAGCTTGTTCTAGTCCTTTCTTTTTACTTTGTCTCATTACACTCATTTTCTTGGTTGATGTTCTCTGGTACTACTTGCTCTTTTTTTACACTTTTTCAATACAATGCTCATTTTAACATAAGTGACAGATAGGGCTCTAAAACTCATGCTTTTCTCGTTTGAATTTATGGCATAATAAATCTATTATGAGCTTATTCAAAATTTAATTTTTATGAAGGTTGAAACAATCACTATTGTTATTGTCATTTTATAGCTTGGGATGCTTCAAACGCTTCCTTTTTTATGCCCTTAGAATAAAGGTTTGTCTTTCAATATTAAAACACGTGGATTGTCCATGTTTCTATTACTATTTTTTGAGCCTTAAAGTTTTGCTCTCGAGACCCTATATGTATTTAAAATGCACCTTTCCAGAGTTGAGATTAACTCATATAACCATGTATGATTTAATAATATTGTTTATGGTGTGATATGAATGCTAATCTATTTTGGTACATGGATATTAGTTATGAATTCATCATTCGACTTGCAATAGCACTATATCTGAACACCTAAACTGCTTGACACATTAACCACATGTATTTTGGATAAAATTTTGATCTTCGAACTTATAGTAACTAATCAACTCTTTTGGGGTATTATGAATATGGGCATTTGTGGTTCAGAGTTTTAATTTTTGGAATTCCTAATCTTCTTGAGATTGCATTTGCAGGTAAAGTTTTAAACTTTAGAATTCATCATCGTATCATAGTAGTAGTTGTTGCTTAGAAAAACAGGTTAAATGTTTTTTTTATTGTGTTATGGCTAACAGGAAAGTCAAATGTTGATAAATGGTCTCTTTTTAATGCATTTACTGTTGAGTATAACAAGTGTGATTAGTACGAGTAATAGTCCTACATTAACTAGAAATGTGGAGACTTCAGCATTTATAAGTGGGAGAACCTATACATCTATCACCTTAAAGTTTTGAGTGAATATGTGATGTGTCTCTCGCAAAGGTGTTACTTTAGAAAAAGAAGTCCCACAATTTTCAATTGGGGGTTGTACGAACATCATAGATGATTTTTGGTGCAACAAGCTTTGGATGAAATTCATTTTGAGAGTTTGACTGATAAAAGCAAGTTGGGTGTCCGTTCAGGAAATTTCATTAGGCTTGTGCCTGCCAAAGCCAACAAGTTTAGTAGATTTGTCTTCAATATATGTATAAATATTTTGTTGTTAATTTTATGTTTCTTTAAACAAATATAAAAATTATTATCAACACAACTCATGTACAATGTTTGATGTGAAATCTTATTTTTTCCCAACTCCTAAGAGTAAGATTTTGTGGGATATTTTCCAACACAACTGACTACTTTAACTTGAAGTTCTTCAAAACTTTGTTGTTTACACAATCTAGTCCATCTTGTTGGAAAGGTTGTGAAATTTTTCTTCAACGATTATTCAGAAAGTGTGAATAGTTATAAGATGCGGAAAAAATAATGTACAATATCAAAGTTCACCATAAACAGATGCATTACATTCACTAAGATGCTAATAAAGGGAGAAAAGGTAAAAAGCTAGATGAATATATTAGATACTATATAGGATAAAGCTCAATTAGAGTTGGAGGTTATTAATATGGAGAATAGGGATAGGAATAAATTTAAAGCTTTTAATACTAGTTCTATTGAGGAAAATTTCACAAAAGGCCTATGATTATAATATGACGCGTGATACATTAAGGATGAAGATTATGTCATCTCATGGATACAATTATAGCGGTTTTGGTTTTTATGCTTTGAATGTGATTTAAGAGTTGCAAATCTTGAAAACAAATACCTCTATGGATGCATTCGACAGCAAATGGAGTTAAATATCGGTGATAAACCATTCTTATGGATTTGCTAGACTACCTAAGTAGGAAAATATAGTTGGGTGCAAGTGGAAAGATCAAGGTATAAACGTAGATTGAATTTGATCAAAGTTGTTGAACAATGATTTCAATAGTAGAGAGGGCACCGAGGTAGTATATGATTAAGTTTGGCATCATCTTCAGTTTTTAGATTTTGGTATTAAGAGCATGTATAATGAGAAGAGTCTAGTTCAAAGTCATCTCTTTTATAGAGGTGAATATGAAAACGAATAGTAAAATAGATGAATAAGAGAATTTAGTCTCCAATTCCAAAAATCAGTCCACTTTACTTAAATTTAAAAGACATTCAATAAACTAATGGTCCAATCATCTGCCGATAAATTTATCCTAAAAAAAAAAAACTAATGCTCCTAATCAAGAATCTAGAAGCCCAATATATTTTCATTGTTATAAACTATCTGAAGCATATTCAAACCAAATAGATACCACCAACTATCTCAAAATCAAGTCATATATTAATGATCCCAACTATCACACCAACAAAAAATAAACTAATGAAGCATGCTAAAGTCTTATCACTTTCTAAATAAATAATTCAATCTCAGGTATGATCCATCAATCAATTTGTTTACTTACTATTTGCATACACTTAATCTTACTTGATTTTACTTTACCATCATAATATCTTTGCAACTACTTTTTTTCCTTTCAATTTTTAACATATAATTATTTTTTAAATCATATCTGTAACTAATATTATGTTATGATATTCTACATTTTATTTATGATTTAATATTTTGGAAGATAAGTCTTGGTTGGCGGACTAAGATGCGTCATAGGTCGCGACTCACTGACGCTTGTTTGTTGCACTACGTGGGCCCCACCCACTATTTCCTTTCCACACCTCCACTACTTGCTTTCTCGACCCCACCATACAAACCCACTTTGATTTCCTTTCAATGGATAGGAGTGGGTGGGGGAATATATAATTATTTATTTATTATCAACTATCGTTTAATATTCTCCAAACACTCTTTTGTAATTATCCATTTACACAATATTTTTTTATTTAATTAACTTTGTTTTTAAAATTTAATATAATATTAATTATTTATTAAGATTATTATATGTATTGTATGAGAGATAAAGTGAATGTATTAAATTTATTTGAGATAATTACTGTATCTCTATTTTGTATAATCTACGAAATTATTTTTTTTTAATTTTAAAATCAAACAGTTTTAATTTTCATTTTACGATTTATCCATAAAATTTTAATCATTTTTTAAATTATAAAACCGATAACATAAATAATACTTTATCCCTTCTAGAACCAAATGCAATTATCTTCAAAGTACAATGAACCTTATTATAATAATGTTTTAAATGTTTTGATTGTCATTAAAGCATGTTCAATATACGTTTAATTTAATTTATAAAAAACATTTCCTCACGGCAAGAAAACAAAACATTAAGAAAACTCGTGGGTATTAGTTGAACTAATTAAGAAATTCCAATATCAAATTTGTTGGAAAAGAAAAGTCCATAGTGCTAATTCTATTAGATGTACTAATTTGATTTAGAATTTATGATTATCATTAATACTAAATTGAAAGAACATAGGTCCCTATCTTACCAACTTAATAATTGAAAGGTGTGGTGATTTTACATTGTGTATCCTTTGGTCTATGGCCTACGTGGCAAGTCATGATTGGTGGATAGGGTTGGGGGAGTTGGTGAGTGAACCAACCCAATATTTTCTTATAATAAGAACTCTTCAATTTCACACACACCAAATTCCAAACCACCTCAACACTACACTTCTTCTCTTCTTCAAGGTAACAAGGTTTCTTTCTCTTTTTTATTTTCATCTCATTGATTTCAATTTATAATAACAATTAGTTAATGATTGTGGTTTATAGGATCAAACCATTTTACATTAAAAAAAAATGATCATAAATGTGAGGGATTCAACTATGGTGCGGCCGTCGGAGGAGGTTGCACGGCGGACGGTGTGGAACTCCAACGTTGATTTGGTGGTGCCGAATTTCCATACTCCAAGTGTTTATTTCTATCGAAACAATGGTGCGTCGAATTACTTCGACGCCAAGGTTATGAAGGAAGCTCTTAGCAGAGTGCTTGTCCCGTTTTATCCAATGGCTGGCCGTCTTCGCCGAGACGAAGACGGCCGTGTTGAGATTGATTGTGATGGTCAGGGAGTGCTCTTTGTCGAGGCTGACACCGGTGCAGTTATCGATGATTTTGGTGACTTTGCTCCCACGCTTGAGCTCCGTCAGCTTATCCCAGCCGTTGATTATTCGCGCGGAATCGAAACGTATCCCCTTCTAGTGTTACAGGTACGCTTCAAAAAAATTTCATTTATTTGTTAGTTTATGAGCTTTTGTTCTATTAATAACATATTTATTACTGTTAAAGAACTAAATAGGATCTGTGAAGAGAAAATAAATTAAAGGGACAAAATTTATATTTTACGTTTTTGTTAGTTGTTATTTATTTTTGGATAATTTTATGTTAAACTACTTTTTTTAGAAGGAGATCAAACTAGTTATACTTAATGGGGGAAATTGATATTGTTTTTATTGATTTTAGTTTTATGTACTAAATGTGCAAAGAGATCTCATAACCAATTTTTATTTTATTTTACTATTGATGTGAATCTTTTCATGAATGGAAATTTTCAGTGCTTATTCCATAATAGTGACTCCTTTTTCAATTTCACTTTTTTATTTGATTATATCTATAAGCTTTAAAAGAGAGAAAAAATTAGGTTATAGTTGTTATTGTTATAGTGGGAGGGGTATATATGTCTAAATAAATATTCAAAAAATATTCTCTTTTTAGCTAGTCAAGTAAAAAAAAATGAAAATAAAAAAAATTAGTAACTCCCTTTTATAAACTATATAATATATAATATTTAATTAATTACGTGTAAAATATAGTTAACTCAGTTAAATATATTAGTTTACTATCAAAATAGTAATTAATTATATAATTTAATCATTTTTTTTTAAAAAGTATTGTCTCTGTTTTTTTTTATGACATTATAAATGTTAAATATTGTGCATGGCTAAATTATTTATTTATTTTTGTTTTTCTATACCCTATTCTTTATCGACACATTTTCCATTATTAAAGTGAAGCACCTTCCACAATCAATTCTAGCCATCTCTATTAGAAATATAATAATCCATCACTAAATTCCAATAAATCAATATAATATATATTTTGCTTTTTTTTTTTTGGAGTGGCTGCTGGATCCCACGTCACAATGATGTCATGAACCTTCTTCTTTTGTATGGTTTTAATTTTTTTATTAAACAATTTGTCATTATCTTCACCTATCTTTGATTTTTGGTTGTTGACAAATTCACCAAACTTTGATGTTATTTGTTGACTCAATTCACCTACCTTTGGTGAAAAGACATGCAATCAATCATACATTAATTTCATAGAGTCTTTTTAATGCGTTGACGAGAAAGGTTGAGTCAGTTGATAAGGAGTTGATTCACACATCGACAGATCGTGAGTTCAACTTCCGCTGTCATGTGAAGACATCTTTAATGCTTAATAAGTTAGAACTTTTGTAACTGGAAGCGATTTTTGAATCATAACTCTGCTACATCAACAACAATTTATGCAGGTAACATATTTCAAATGTGGAGGAGTATCACTTGGTGTTGGTATGCAACATCATGTAGCAGATGGAGCTTCTGGTCTTCACTTCATCAACACATGGTCAGATGTAGCTCGCGGCCTTGATGTTTCCATCCCACCGTTCATTGACCGGACACTACTCCGCGCCCGCGATCCTCCTCGACCTGTTTTCGATCACATTGAATACAAGCCGCCACCATCCTTGAAGATTTCTCAACAGCCTACAAAACCAGGCTCTGACAGTGCAGCTGTCTCGATTTTCAAATTGACTCGCGAGCAACTTAACACGTTGAAAGCTAAGTCGAAAGAAGCCGGTAACACAGTCCACTACAGTTCTTACGAGATGTTAGCCGGTCATGTTTGGAGAAGCGTGTGCAGAGCAAGATCGTTGCCTGATGATCAAGAAACCAAATTGTATATCGCGACCGACGGAAGGGCGAGACTGCAGCCTCCTCCTCCACCGGGTTACTTCGGCAATGTGATATTCACAACAACACCTATAGCTATAGCAGGTGATCTCATGTCGAAACCAACATGGTATGCTGCAAGTAGAATCCACAACGCGTTGTCGCGAATGGACAACGAGTATTTAAGATCTGCTCTTGATTTTCTAGAGCTACAACCTGATCTTAAAGCTCTTGTTCGCGGTGCACATACTTTCAAGTGTCCGAATCTCGGTATTACTAGTTGGGCTAGGCTTCCGATTCACGATGCTGATTTTGGTTGGGGAAGGCCTATTTTCATGGGACCTGGAGGGATTGCTTATGAGGGACTTTCTTTTATAATTCCAAGCTCAACAAATGACGGGAGTTTATCGGTGGCGATTGCTCTTCAACACGAGCATATGAAAGTGTTTAAGGAATTCTTGTATGATATTTGAAGAAACATTTGGAACAGCACTGTGTTTCTAAGGTGGTGTTTTGTTTCCTAGTTTTTTGGTTTTTCTTTCGGTACTTTTGATGAACTCTATGCAAATGTTAACGAGACTTGTTTTGGCTTACAATAGAGTAAATCTGTTGTAAGTGTTATAATCTGTAAACAATTTAATTTGATGTTGCAGTTTACACGAAACTTCAAACATTTGAAAATCTATTATCGGTATTGTAGTTATTTATCATTTGAGCCTAACAGCGAAACTCAACACACCCAAATCGCGGAGACGAGAATTTGAAAGAACAACAATACTTTATGATATACAGATGATCTTCTCTTCTAGAGAATCTCAAGCTTCAAATAGAAACATGCGACGCTAAAAATGTGACAAAATTCAAAGCAACTTAGCATGGAAAGAGAAAACAAATATTAAAACAAAGCTTACACACACAGTTGAAATCCAAGATAGCATGGATGGTGCAGAGTTTTTAGAACGGCGAGGTTCGGAACGATCATTAACATTTGCACCACCGGTAGTTGTCCCTTTTCCTCTATTAGCTTTCTTATTTAAGGCATAAGCCGGTTCAAACTTTTTCTCCTTTATGCTTCCATAGTTTCCTACAAATAGTATAAAAGAAAATTTTAGCATTAGCATAGAAGCAAAAACAAGAATCTAGTATAACCTTAATTTAAGGAAATGATTCTTAAAAAAGGTGAAGAATGCTTAGTACTAATAGGTTGCTTTGTTTGTATGCTGCTATTTGACGAGTTTAGACCTTTCTGTTGCGAACTGAAATTTTGATGTAAACTCGAGATTGAGATGGCTTGAGTCCATAAAACAATGATGAAGCATGTAAGAAATCTTACTCTCATCATGGACTGAAGATTCTATCTACAAAAATTGAAAATGGTTACTATATCTGAAGTTGGTAGAAGGAGAAAAGGGTTAATATAAGCTGTAAAAAGAGAGGGAAAGAATCATCTGTGAAGAAAGCAATGTCTGTGAATCAAATTCTCTGTAGACATATGGTTGCTTGAAAGCGAAGCAAGAAGAATGCTTCATTTGGAGCCCCTACCTTGTGCTGCATCAGATGCTTGTAATCTTAATCGCGATGATGCGCACATGTGGATGTATTTCACTTGCAAAAGTAGGGGTTTGGATTCCTTCCGGTCACAGTCTCACACATTCACACAATCAGCACATCAGTAATTTTTAGATCAAGATTCGACGGTGCAAAAAGCAAATAAATTTTGATATTGTTTTTAACTTTAAAATACCGAACTTAAAATCTAGACAGTCTAATATCGATCCAACTGTCCGCGATTTGCTGACTGCGTGAGGTATGTGATTCAAATACCACAAGTAGTTCAGTTCTATTGGACCAACCAGCACAGAGAATTTTTACAGACTTGTAATCTGCTTTTGATAGTTTTCAATTACTTTTACTTTATGTCAAAAGATTGGAAGGCACACAACAAATGACACAAGTCCATTTAGTGGTTGAAAGAATTTAGAGTAAAGTAATATTCCTAAGCATGCTTATACAATCTTACAGATCAAGTTAATTGTATGTTGTAAAGTCTTAATCCAAAATGTATAAATAAATAGTGAAATATAACTGTATGACTAAGAACCTCTTATGACTCTTCATTCATCATGAGTGTTAAAATACGAAATAACGAGAGATATTTGGATAAAACCGTGTGTTTGATACGAAAGCTGAATTATATAGTGAAATATACAACTCATCGTATTAATTACATAAGGAATATGCTACGGTATATTTTATTCTATTCTAGATAGATTAAGGAATATTTTATGAAATATTCTATTTATACAAATATCAACAATTTCACTCAAACTTGAACATATAAGTCAAATGCTCCAAGTTTGTCACATATTTAATTTTCTATTAAACAAAATGATAATTTATCTCAATATGTTTGTCCCTCTTGTGAAAAACTGGATTCAAAGCAATATGCAATGCATGTTGATTATCACATATAAAAGTGTCATTGGTCTTGGTCTTCAAATTGAAATTCTTTGAACAACTGCATATCTTGCAACTACATTTTATTTCTTACGTTTTTAAGATATCATATTTCCTCCAACAAATACACAATATCTAGATGTAGATCGTCTATCAATGGGTAGTCTACCCAATCGGCATCAAAATTTCCAACTATCTGAGTATGCCATTTATCGTCATAAATGATACCTTTTCCTATAGCACCTTTGATGTATCCCAGCATCTAGATAACAACGTTCTTGTGTTTTTAGTAAGGAGAATTTAAAAACGGACTTACCATACTAACTGCAAAATAAATGTTCGGATGAGTGAGTGTGAGTTAATTTAACTTTTCAACCAATCTCCTCTACCTTCTTGAAAGACAGAGGCTCCGTGTGATTGAGTAGGAGTTTGACACTTGGATCTATAGGGGTATCTGCTGGTTTATCATTCAATAAACTTGTTTCTTCTAAAATATCTATAGCATATTTCTGCTGAGAAATTACCAAACCATATTTATGACAATATCATCTACATACACAACACGATAAATGCATCCTTTGACTGAGTGACGATAAAAAATTGAATGGTCAGTTTCACTAAGAACCATGTCAAACTGTTGTATTACAATGTCGAATCTCCCAAACCAACCTCTTGGAGAATGCTTAAGATAATAAAGAAATCAATGTAGCCGACAAACCATAGTCGAGGACTCTCCATGAGCAACAAACCAAATGGTTGCTCCGTATATACTTCCTCTTCAAGATCGCCAGATAAAAATGAATATTTGATGTCAAGTTTCTGAAAAGGTCAATTTTGAATAGTTGCAAAGGTGTGAAGAAGTCTAACCACCATTTGGCTATGAGAAATATAACAATCCATCAATCAATTCCAATAAATAAATATAATATATTTAGCTTTTTTGGTTGGAGGGGCTGCTGAACCCAACTTCACAATGATTCCCAATGATGTCATGAATTTTCTTCTTTTGCATGCTTTTAATTTTTGAATTGAACAATTTGTCATTATCTTCACCTATCTTGAAATTTTGGTTGCTGACAAATTCACCTATCTTTGATTTTTGTGTGATTCAATTCACCTACCTTTGATGAAAAGACATGTAATCATACATTAATTTAATTGAACCCTTTTAATTGTTTTGTCCCTAAAAAATGTTCACTTGAAAATCAAAGTGTTTGTGTGAAATGAACAATATGAAGTGAAGAAGATACCATATTTTCTTGCAACTTAAATTCAATTTTTTGTGATCAATGTTTTCATAACTCTGCTACATGCAACAACTTATGCAGGTAACATATTTCAAATGTGGAGGAGTGTCACTTAGTGTTGGTATGCAACATCATGTAGCAGATGGAGCTTCTGATCTTCACTTCATCAATACATGGTTAGATGTAGCTCGCCGCCTAGATGTTTTCATCCCACCGTTCATCGACCGACACTACTACGTGCCCGTAAACTCACACACAAAGTGCGGAGAAGAAAGGTATTGCGGTTTTAAACCCAAATAGAAATAAATGACAGGCTTAGCTTGAAACATTTATTCATGTTAATATTTTAAATGGTTGTTCTGAGAATTCGGAAAAACAACAATACTTTATGATGTACAAGATGCTTTCTCTTCTAAAGAATCTCGAGCTTCAAATAGAAACACGGGACACTAAAAATGTGAGAAAATTCAAAGCAACTTAGCATGGAAGGAGAAAACAAATATTAAAACAAAGCTTACACACAGAGTTGAAATCCGAGATAATATGGATGGTGCAGAGTTTCTAGAACGGCGAGGTTCAGAACGGTCATTAATATATCCACCACCCCTAGCTCCTTTTCCTCTATGAGCTCTCTTAACCGAGTCGTAAACTTGTTCAAACTTTTCCTCCGCTATGCTTCCATAGTTTCCTACATCTTAATAGAATTAAAGAAAATTTTAGTATTAGCACAGAAGCAAAAACAGAAATGATTGTTTGAAAAGGTGATGAATGCTTACTACTAATAGGTTGCTTTGTTTGTATGTTGCTATTTGAGGAGTTTAGACTTCTCTGTTGCAAACTGAAATTTTGATGTAAACCCGAGATTGAAATGGTTTGAGTGCATAAAATAATGATGAAGCATGTAAGAAATCTTACTCTCATCATGGACTGAAGATTCTATCTACAAAAATTGAAAATGGTTACTATATCTGAAGTTGGTAGAAGGAGAAAAGGGTTTATATAATCTGTAAAAAGAGAGGGAGAGAATCATATGTGAAGAAAGCAATGACTGTGAATCAAATTCTCTATGTAGACATATGGTTGCTTGAAAGAGAAGCAAGAAGAATGCTTCATTTGGAGCCCCTAGTTCTGCATCAGATGCTTGTAATCTTAATGGCGATGATGAGCACATGTGGATGTATTTCACTTGCTGTTTACGAAGTAAACCTTGCAAAAGTGGGGATTTGGATTCTTTTCACTCACAGTCTTACACATTCACACAATCAGCATGTCTGTAATTGTTAGATCGAGATTCGACGGTGCAAAAAGCAAATAGATTTTGATATTGTTTTTAACTTTAAAATACCTGTTAAGAGTTCTACATCGGATAATATAGAACTTGAATATGTGCTTTTAAGTGGGGAAATCCTCATCTTATAAGTTAGTTTTGTAGGGATGAGTTAGACCTAAGCACAATTCTTAACATATTATCAGAGTCTGGTTTAAGATCTGGTGACCCATCTAAGCGGAGACAATCCTCATCCTATAATTTGGTTTTGTAGGATTGAGTTAGTCCTAACCACATTTCTTAACAATACCGAACTTCAAATCTAGATTGTCTAATATCGATATAACTGTCTGCGTGAGATATACTATTCAAATCTCAAAAGTAGTTAATTTCTCTTGGACCAACCAGCACAGAGAATTTTTACATACTTGTAATCTGCTTTTAATAGTTTTCAATTACTTTTACTTCTATGTCAAAAGTTTGGAAGGCACTACTCTATTGTCAAAAAGTAACCAAATGGTGTCTTTATCATCTAACCAACCTCATGATTGTTTCATTAACTTTGATCTAACCTCTTCTTCAAATGATTTTGGTGCATCATGTGTTCTGGCAGACATGTGCAAATGTGTAAATCAAAATATCTGCCCATAAAGCTAGTTCAATCACTTTCATACCTATTTCAGATTTTAAAAAAAGAAATAAGCAGCTTTTCTGGCTGTCAAATTCAAATTTGATAATCAATGCACCTTTTTTTTAGGATGAGTCCTTATGATGTGGAAAGTTCTGAGTAGGCCAGCCTTTTTTTGTAAGGTAACTGTAAATTAAGTTAAAAAGATTCTATTTCTTCTTTCCAAGAACCAGCAACAATTAATTCATCTATTCATACTACATTTCCTAAAATTATGGATGACATTATAGCACTAAGGTGGACACAAACTTATCAACAAGCAAACAAACATGTTCTTAGTTGTGGCCAAAATATACATTTGAAGTAGTAGTAGTAGTAGTAGTAGTAATAGTAGTGAAGAAATTATTATATAGGCCTAAACAAAGCTATATAACATGATACTTAACTAGTGGAAGTGAAACAATGTGATTAAAGCAAAAATCTCACAGAAAATAAGTGTTGAGACACAAAAACAAGGCTCTTCCATTAATGATTTTGCAGAACTTTTAGAGTGATGATTCCCATGAATGGCGCTTTCACTGCCGGCAACTCCAGCACCGGCAACTCCAGCGGCAGCAGCACCACCTGCCCTACCTCCGAAGAATCCTCTCCTGCTTCCTCCTCCTCCTCCCCTTCCTCCTCCCCCTCCCCTTCCTCCTCCTCCTCCTCCCTTTCTTTTAGTAACAGATAGTTCATGTTTGTGTTCATTATTACTTTCTACAAGCCTTGTAGAGACTTCTATGTTACCATTTCCATACAAGTTTCCTAGCATTGAATAACAAATTATAAAAGCAAAAGTGAAAAAGAATTATGCTTACAAATATCTTAGAATTTTGAGTTAAACCTAAATTACTTGTACAAAACCGACTTATAAAGTAAGAGATTATTCCTTATACTTAAGCAGATGACCAACAAATCTTTGACAGACTCTAATACTGTCTTAGAATCTAGGTTGAATCTAACTCAAACCTACAAAATAAACTTGTAAGGTGAGTAATGTCTACCTATTGGAAAAACTCAAGTCGAACGTTGAATCAAAATAAGAACTGAAAGGAGTTTATAAAGAGTACCAAGCTTCATCATAATAAAGATAAGACCTAAATAACATCTCTCAACTTACAAGCCGGTTTTGTAAGGATAAACTAAATCAAATATTAAACACCTAATACTCTCACTTATAAACTCATTTGCGTTCACTCTTGACAAAATGTATGAAAAACTAAGTTAGAGCTTGTTGGAAAAGTTAAAGAAATTGTACCAAGAAGATTGTGTGGTTGTTCATTGCTTTGGATAATGCTTCTGTTTTCTGAAGTGAACTTCATATCGAAATCTTCATCTTTATTTGATATGGCTTGAGCACCTGAAATAATCAGTAGGAACATTGCAAGAAATATTAACTTCATGTTTGGCCTATGTGGCTGGCAAAAGGGAGTGGTGATTCTTTGCAAATTATTGGGATTTGAAGCAAAGGGAGAGAAACTAAGAACATGAAATGTAGGGAAAAGTAGTTTAAGTAGACAGAATAAGAAAGACAAAGGCCTGTCCAAAGTCCATGTGGACCACTAAAAACAGGTCCAATAACAACAAATTAGTGTAAGCTGACATGTATCATCTTCACCCAATTAAACCAAGAAAATTATTTCCTTAATAATGAAAAACTTTTTTCATTCTTTTTTATTTTAACTTGCAACTTCATCTAAAACTGTGGTTCTCCTCTTTCTTTCTTTTTTCTCTTGTTGTGTTTTGACATATATATATATATTCATCCATTTTACCAAACTCATTTTATTTTGTGATGGATTGTGGTAATTCATTCATCATATTTTGGCACAAAGTTGACATCTAACACCGGATATTTAAATGGTGTCCGATATGTAGCGAGCACGACTGGTTACCTGTGAATCTAATATCCAATATGCTTGTCTAGAATGTGAATTACACTAGCTAAGGAACGCTTATATTACCAATTGATTTCTCTGCGGTAGTAAGACTGACCTACTGACTTCTCTTGATCTATTCTTGAGTGAATGAAGTTTGTTGCTTGGAATTATCATCTTTTACCTGTTCTTGGGTGAATGGAGTATCATCAAATCCTAAAGAAGAATTTTTTTTTTCTTTTCATGGTTGATGAAGATAATGCTCTCAAACCGAGCTCGTGGTACCATAACAGGAAACAAGATAAAAGAGATTCATAAACTAACCCTAAGATTGAATGAATATTGATTACAAGAAGTATATCAGGTCCCATATCTATTGATACTATATTTCCAAATGATATTATGAATGGCATTATAGAATATTAGCATTCCCGATTTCAAGTGAAGGTCACAAATTAATTCACAAGCAATCATAATATTTAATTATAGCCGAAATATACATTTAGTAGCATTAAAGACATAAAAAAGATTAATGTATACCTATACAGAAGCAACTACACAAGACACTTAACTAGCGGAAATGAAACAATGTGATTAACGCCAAAAACTCAAACATAATATAAATATTGAGACACAAACTTGAGGCCCTGCAGATAATGATGTAGCAGAATTGTTGGAGTGATGAGTCCCGTGATAGCCGTTTGAACCACCTATAATTCCAGCTCCGAGAACTCCAGCAGCCGCTCCTCCACCCACCGCCCTTCCTCTGCCGCTTCCTCCTCCTGCCCTTCCTCCTCCCCCTCCCCTTCTTCCTCCCGCCCTTCCTCCTCCTCCCCTTCCCCTTCCTCTTCCCGCCCTTCCTCCTCCTCCCCTTCCTCCCTTTCTTTTAGTAACAGATAGTTCATGTTTGTATTCATTATTACTTTCTACAAGCCTTGTAGAGACATCTATGTTACCATTTCCGTACAAGTTTCCTACCATTGAATAACAAAGTATAAAAGAAAAAGTGACAAAGAAGTATGCTTACAAATAACTTAGAATTTTAAGTTGAATCCAACTCATTTGTAGAAAACCTGCTTATAAAGTAAGGTTTTCTGAACACTTAGAACCGGACATTTAGAGTGTGAACTAGGTGGTATGATGGCAGATGACCAACAGATCTTTCACAAGACTCTAATACCATCTTAGAATCTAGGTTGAATCTAACTCAAACTTACAAAATAAGCTTGTAAGGTGAGTAATATCTTCCTAGTGAAAAAACTTAAGTCCAAAGTTGAATAAAAATTAAAACTGAAAGGAGTTTATAAGGAGTAGCAAGCTTCGCCTTAATAAAAATAAGACCTAAATAAGTTTATTAAGAGTAACACCCTCACCTAACAAGTCGATTTTGTAAGGATGAATTAAACGCCTAATACTCCCACTTATAAAACTCATCTACATTCACTCTTGACAAATGTATGAAAAATTAAGTTTGAGCTTGTACCAAGAAGATTCTGCACTTGTTCACTGGTTTGGATAATGCTTCGGTTTTCTGAAGTGAAATTCACATTGAAATCTTCATCTTCATTTGATATGGCTTGAGCACCTGAAATGATCAGTAGGAACATTGCAAGAAATATTAACTTCATGTTTGGCCTAAGTGGTTGGCAAAAGGGGGTGGTGATTCTTTGCAAATTATTGGGATTTGGTATCTCCTATTTTCTTTGAAGCAAAGGAGAGAAACTAAGAACATGAAATGTAGGGAAAAGTAGTTTAAGTAGACAGAATAAGAAAAATTGGCCTGTTGGATTGCTTTTTGCTGAAGTCAAAATCAATTGCAGTCACGCATTCACACGTCGGTAACCGTCCGATTAAGATCAAACAGTTTTAATTTAAAATTGATAATTTAAATCTATTTTTTCTGAACGGTGCGATCAAGATCGAACGGCTTACAACATTTTGACTGCGTGAATGCGACAAAAAGCTGACTGGATTCATTTTCAATTTTCGTAGCATTTAAGATAAGGGGAGAAAATCTCTATGTGGGGCATCTAATGTGTACTCCAAAATAAAAACAGTTCCAATAACAACCAATTACTTTAAGCTGTTGACATGTAGCATCTTCAACCAATAGAACCAAGAAAATTATTTCCTTAATAATTAAAAGACTTTTTTTCATTCCTTTTTATTTTAACTTGAAATGAAACTTCATCCAAAAGTATGTGGTTCTCCTCTTTCTTTCTCTTTTTTCTTTTTTCTCTTTCTTGTGTTTTGACATATATTCTCTTCCAAGTGTGCTGATTTATGTCTTACATCACATGAGGAGACTTTCTTGGACTATCTTGTGTAATGATATCAGCAGGGTCCATGTTACTAAACTCATTTTATTTTGTGGTGGATTGTGGTAATTCATTCACCGAAGTTGAATTCCAACCCGTATATTACTCTCTTATGCACGCATACCCGCACGGGCAGTATATTACTCTCTCGCGCAATAGTTTGTAATGGATATTGATTACAAGAAGTGATATCAGGTTCTATATTTATAGATAGATCAATTGGAAACGAAAGGAATAACTAAGTATATCAGAAAACAGAAATAACTGACATAGTTGACTAATATAGATATCTAATAATGATTGAGTTATCCTACTTTTCTAGTACAAACAAAAACAACAGATCATATTATTCTTTTCATGTTGAACCCTGTTGGCCGCAATATTAAATGCTAATTATTGGAAGCAACTAGTTCATTTGGACACTATATTCCTATTGTCAATTGTTTGAAGCATTAGTTTTTTTGGTACTGTTTCATTGACCTTTGATCAAAAAATTTGAAAATACAATCAGGGTGTGAGTGTCATAAACCCCGATTCCTACTTATAAAGAAAAACTCTTCACAAAATGATTTTGGTACATCAAGTGTTCTGGCAGACATGTTCCAATGTTTGAAACAAAATATCTCTTCGTAAATAACCTTCTAGTTACATTGATGTTCTTTTTCCCAGCAGCGTGAAAAGATTCATAAAGAAGATTACACTTAACTAGTGGAAATGAAACAATGCGATTAAACCCAAAAACTCAAACATAAAATAAATATTGAGACACAAACTTGAGGCCCAGCAGATAATAATGTAGCAGAATTGTTGGAGTGATGAGTCCCGTGATACACGCTTGAACCACCTATAACTCCAGCTCCGAGAACTCCAGCAGCTGCTCCTCCACCGACCGCCCTTCCTCTACCGCTTCCTCCTCCGCTTCCCTTTCCTCCTCCGCCGCCTCCCCTTCCTCCTCCTCCTCCTCCTCCCGATCCTCCTTTTCTTATAATAACAGATAGTCCATGTTTGTGTTCATTATTACTTTCCATACTCACAACTTCATGGTTCAACCTTGTAGACACCTCTATGTTTCCACTTCCATCTAAGTTCCCTATCATTGAATAACACAGGTATAAAAATAAAACTTTCAAGCAAATAAATAATTCAATTTCACAAAATTTGTAAAAAAAAATTAAGTCTGTGCTCTACCAAGCACAAACATTCTAAAAATGACTCCGACACTAACACGACGACACTGGTAATAATTTAAAAAATTGAATAAATTTTTAGAGGTGTGAGTGCTACATAGTTTATATGCTTACTTAAAAAGTTAAAGAAATTGTACCATGATGTGGTTGTTCATTCGTTTTGATTAGGTTATTGTCTTGTGAAGTGAAATTGATATTGAAATCTTCATTTGATATTGCTTGAACACCTGAAACAATTATGAGTAACAATGAAAGAAATTTAAATTTCATATTAGATTAAAAGGTTATGCAAATAACTGAGAATTGAGGTCTCCGAGTATGCAGATTCTAGAGCGTGATAAACAGGTTTTGCAGTGTTGTTGGTTAGGTAGAAAGGGTTTTTATATGAATATTTTTCAAAGTTTGGTTGGGGAAGAAAAGGTTGAGAAGAAACTAAGAACGTGTTCTGCTCTTTCTTTTGTTGACAAATTCTTTACACGTGTGGGGCACACGCGTAAGTAATTATTTGAATATGAAAATGTATAGTAAAGATTTGCTTGATTTTAATAATTGATTATTAAAATCCTATTAAAAATAGAGATTCGAAAGATAATATTTAAAATAATAGTTGATTTATCTTTAAGTTTGGTTTACATCAAATTCAAAACTGCATTACTAATAATAAATATTAAAAGATCTTTTCTGAAATGTATTGAAACTATAACATTAAACATTTTGATATTATAGAAAACTAAACGCCAAAAAATATTAACGGTGTATTTTTTTATAAATTTAATTTTATTATAAACTATTTATATTAATTTTAATATAAATTATTTATATGATAAAACATTAAATTTTATATTTAGTCAAAACTTATAACATGTTCGTTTTACAAATATATGATATATTATTAATCAAGTATATTCGTTTAATAACTATCATATAATATAGTTAATATAGTTATTATAGCTTAAGTAGCATAATAAAAGTTTATGAAATACAAAATTAATCCCTTATAACTATCATATAATAACTATCATATAATATAGTTAATATAGTTATAATAGCTTAAGTTCATGATATATTATTAATCAAGTATTTCATAAATAAAAGTTAATCCCTTATAAATACAAAATTTTGAAATACAAATAAAAGTTTATGAAATACAAATACAAATAAAATCCACAAATAAATTAATCTCACATAAAGTGAAATAAATAAAATTTTAAGGGATTAAAAGTTTCATGTTCTTGTTAGACAAAAAAAACATATAAATTATTCTTCAAAAACTAAGTAAAATAGACAACGTATAAAGAGAAAAATATATAATAAACAAAATTTAAGAAATGTGAATAAATTAGAATATATGTACAATTTCATAGAAGTATCTTCTGTACACTCATTTCAATAGTTGCATGGAAAATATATATTTGTGTAAAAAAGATCATTTGAAATCCCTTCAAATTTTGCCGCATATATGTAGCATTCTGCCTCTTTTGAAATTAATAGTTTCTTCAATTTTCTTTAAAAACATAACATAAATATTTTAAAAAATAAAAATAAAAATGAGAGAGATGAGTTTTTTCTTTAGTTTTAAACGAAGAGTTTAAGAGAGAAAAGAAGAGAGATAATCAATCAACATTGCAAAACCAAATACATAAGACTTTTTCAGTATTACGTATCTACTTCGGTGGAGTGTTCGCAGATATTAATAAATTTATTAGAATTGTGATATAATAAATAGAATTTATATAATAATTAACAACTTTAATAATAATTTTACATAGAGTTGGTTCAAAAATTGAAAAAACTACAAAGTAATATAATTAAAATGAATAACTTTTAATAACTAATCAAACCTATAAAAATAATTACAAGTGAATGATTTATATCTGTTACATTTTGAAAGATTATGCCCCTGTGTTCTTCCCATTGTCTTGCACATTCTTCTATTTTGCTTGATTTATCCATTAAAAACTAAAAAGAAATTTAAGAATCATTATTAAATATATAAAAATAGTGATGTAGAAAGTATGTGTAAGAAAATTAAAGTTATTAGGTATTTTCAAATATTTAAGAATCTTTAAATTTTGAAGAAGAAAAATTGAAAAAATGAAAATATTGAAGATAAAAATGCAGGTAGTATGTGATAAAGAAAGGAAATGGTAGAATACTTAAAACAAAAAGAATGATACGTGAATAAAAAAACGGCATTATGTTGTTGATACTCAAAAAAACTACACCAAAAATATGAATTTATCATTAAGACTTAATTACACATTAAAAATAATAAGAACACAAAAAAATTTGACTTCTTTCTTTCTTATGCATTATCGATGATACTAAATAATTTTCAATAATATTCATCTATTAATCAAACAATATAATGAAATGAATAAAATTAAAAATATGTAAAGGAATCGATCAAAATAGTTAAACTTTAAAAATTAGTGAGAATATTAAAATTAAAAAAAAAAAGATAGTATGAAAATTGGAAAAATAACCTCTTTTCCATTAAAAAAAATCTCTATGTTTATGTTAACAACAACTTTTTTTCTACTTCACAGTCTTCAAACTAATTAAAAACAAAAACTTAATAAGAGTTGCCAAAAGAACATAACAGAAAAATTAAAGTTAATTTAGAGAAATACTTCAGAAAAGATAGCAATTACCATTATTATCTTTCTCTTTTATTTTTATCTTTGTTTTCTTTCTTCCATATCTTTAATATGCTTCTCCAACATTTTTTCTCTCTCACTATATTTAATGGGAAGAATATAAAATAGAGAGAGAAGATAGATTGGTTTAGAAACCGCATAGAAATTATGAAAGATGAAGAATAATAACTAACTAATAAAAGAATGTAATAAAATCAATTTATTAGGGACAAAATTGGAAATAAAAAAGCTACACCAAAAATGTTTATTGCCTTTATATATTGTTATAGATTATAGATTATTAAAATTAGAATTTAATTAATTTAAACCGAAACATTAATGTTATAATTATATATTTATTGAAAAATTAGCAATTATGTAACTTTTTTGGGCAATTCTTTAGTGATGAATACATTTTATATTGGCTCTTAATTGAATAAAAATGATGTATAAATTATAGGAGATGTTTGATGAAATAGTTTCATTATGTGTGGTGGCAGGATAGCATAACTTAAGAATTGACTTTTTCAATCAAAAGTTCGGACAATGAGTATTTTCTTAGTTAAAAATTAGTAGTAGTGAAAACACTTGTCTGACATATTTTTTATGTTAATTATTTAGACATATAGAAAGTGGTTATTAGTATAGCAGTTATCCTGTTAGACATTTTATGCTGTGTAGTTTCTTTCCGTATAATTCTCCCCATATAAATTGCATTTGCGCCTTCTAGATAAGTTTCACACATCCGTGTGGCACTCTGTTACTTATCATGGAATAATAAATTGGTAGAGCATCCAAAACCGATTTGGCAAGAGTAACTCTTCCTGCCATATATCTAACTTGTTTTGAACTCTATCAATGGTATGTTGATAATCTTGCTCCTTGGACTTTTACCCATGATGGGAACTCCCAGATAATATCCAAGCTTCTTTGTCTACTTATCCTTGCAATTCCAGCCAACTCCCTGTATTGGCCTACTATACTGAAAGATTGAATTGAGTTTGTCAAATATTGTCAAGACTATAAAAAACGTGTAGGTACTCCTCATGTCCCTGCAAGTAAATTACATGTTATTGTTAAGCATGGACCATTTAGAGGTTAGAAATTAGATTTAATTGGTAAAATTCGACCTACATCATCCAAGGGTCATAGGTACATCTTGGTGGGCATAAATTATTTTACTGAATAGGTCAAAGTTGTGCCTTTGGTGAATGTTGATTAAGAAGCTATGATCAATTTTATTCAGAGTCACATCATTTGTAGGTTTGGAATTTCTGAAACCTTAACCATTAGGTTCAGTTTTCACTTATCGAAAGATGAATGAATTCGCTTCAGATTTAGGAATCAAACTTCTGACTTCTATCCTTTATTATGTCCAAGAAAATGGTTAAGTCGAAGCCGCTAACAAGATCATAATAAGTTTAATTAAGAGACATGTTGGTCAAAAGCAAAGGAATTGACATAAGACTTTGGACCAAACACTTTGGATTTGTCAAACGACTCCTAGAGAGACATTCAAAATGGAAAGTCAATCTTCATCTTCTGAAAGCGTATCTTGGCAAGTCGAAGCTTCTTGTCATTTATGGAATCCTCAGTCTTCAGTCCATCGACCTCTTTCCTCATTGTACAAGTGGTTTCAGCATGTTGGATATCAATCTTGGCTTCCTCAATCAATTTTTCCTCGAGAAAACCTAATTGGGGAGATTTAATATCAATTTTCTCCTTTTCTGCTACTTCAATTTTTTGATGTAGCTCGTCCATTTGTTGTGTCCACTTTAGAGTGTTGGCATCACAAGTGGCCCATCGATCCTTGTTTTCTTTATCTTTTCCTTCCCACTCTTTGATTCGACTTTGAAATTGATTAAGTAATTCCCATTGCTGAGACATAACATTAGTCTGTTAGTCACGTCTCTTAACAGATTTCTTTTCAAGTCTGAAATTTTAAGCGATTTGCCCAAGAAACAGGTCGAAATTAAGAATAAAGCTGAGAATGGAGACGATTGTCTCTGGTTTGTTCAGTTATGTCAACAATCCCTAAATCTCATAGAGAGCAGCAGGATTGTCTTCTATGGTCTGAATTGTTGTAATATTATAGACCCACTTCAAAAAAATCACCGTCTATCTTCCTTTATTTAAGATTATTTTCAATGCTTTCTATATTAAGATCTAAAAAGATTATCTTGGAAGACACTTAATTTTCTTTTCAGCGTTTTATGTCAAGATCAACTAAAATTATGTACTGTTTGGAAATTATGGTTGTTAAATTTAAAT